CACGTGCCTAGAGCCCTTGCTCTGCAACAAGAGAAGCCACCGCAATGAGAAGCCCACGCACTGCAACAAAGAGTAGCCCCTACTTGCTGTAACTAGAGAAAGCCCACACGCAGCAACGAAGACCCAACGCAGCCAAAAATAAATATAAATAAATTTTAAAAGTAAAATAAGATACTATCACTCAGTTTTTCCATAAGATTAGGTACTATACAATCTTTAAACAGAACTTCTGTATTCAGAAATAATTAGGTCTAAATTTCTATCTTCTGCATCAGTTAAAAAAAACAGGAGCTGATTCCATACTGAGCAGGGCATTGTGAGAGGCCCAAATTGAAATTCATTTAGAACGTAATTAGTACCATACTCTTAGAGAAAATGTATATTTATCAAGAGTGACTATCTTTAATAGCAAATTCTCAAAAGATTTGGTTAAAACAAAGTTCCTCTTTCTTGGACAACACTCTTTTGATGAAATGGGTGAAAAACTTCCCTACACAGTTAGGTTCTAAGGTGGTAAGCTGAAAAGCACAGGAAAATGGGAATGCATCCAAACTTACGAGGAACTGCAGATGCAAAGCGGTCTTTCTCTTTGTTCATGAGCCTCTGACGCAATTCATTCTGGCCACAGTTCTGTGGACCAATCAAAATGACAGGTCTTTTCCTATTTGCTGGCTGATGATAAAGTGACATTTCCTCATAAGTTAAGATCTCTTCATTGTCATAATCTTTGAAAAAGAAAAAGTTAAGCCCTTCAGACAGAATTATTGCCATGTAATAAATATATACTCATAGATCTTTCAAAAAATTGAAAAAAAGCACAAGTTATTATCGTTAAAAATGCTTAACTTTTGGGATCAAGACAGTAATATGGAAAATCATGAGTATTTTCCCATGTCATTATATCCTTGCCAGGATTATGAAAATAAATCAAATAATATATTAATCCTTCTAGAAATGTTTATTGCTTCTTGTTTCATACTGTGTTTGAATGTTTAATACAATATAACTATACTGATTCATATCAAATACCTAGTTTGCAGCCAATACTTTGACAGAGGGTGAGGCACCAAGGCATAAACTAATGAGAATAATATCTGTCATTTTTGTAAAATGGGGATACTAATACTTTAATTAGAGGGTTGGTTTAAGGAGAAGACAATGTATATGCTGCAAACAATACCTGGCATAGACAAACATTTACAAATAGTGCTGCAACTAGTGTTATCAGAGAAAGCTGGAATACTTTTCTGTGATCATATAACTTGAAAACACAGCATATCTATGCTATCCAACTTTCTACACTTATGTTTACTTTATCCTGGAATACTAATACTAACCTGAGATCATGATTCAAGAAGAGGTATAAATTATAACAGGTGGGGTAACATTCCTAAAGCCCATAATCCAGATGAAATCAGAGCTGTCAAGTGGTAAGAACAAAGGCATACAACTAGTGACCTGCTATCTTCTCAATCATATTACTTCACCTAACTGGGTAAGAGCATCAGATGTGTAGTCAGACCGTCAGCTATAAGTTCCATGGGGGCAGGGGACCATCTTAATCTTGTCAGTGCTTAGCACAGAGCACAGAGCAGGAACTCAAACTCTAGTTGTTTAAACTCCAACTCAACCATGTATTAGCTGTAAGAACTTAAGCAGGCCACTTTCACATCTGAACTTGAATTCATTAATCTGTAGTCTCAAGGAATTTATTGTGAGAACTAAATGGATGAAGGTTACTGCCCCTGGAATAGAAGTTATTATAAATGATAGTTATTAATAAAAATGTTAATTATGATAACAGCACCATGAACAGAAATGTAATTCCTTCCCTTCTCAAAACGCTTTTCCCTCTGAAAAATCTAAGTTCCTTCTTCTAACATGTACAGACTGTGGAAGCATTTTGACTCACAGATGTAGATATATCATAATATAACAGCTATTAGAGCTGAACCAGTTAGTTTTAGTGTATTTCAAAAGATAAGCAGATATTAATCACTTACCCAAGTATAGAGGAAAAGATTAAAATTCCAATAAATCTTCTTAGCTACATAATCTATCAATTAGCATTAAGGATGTTTATTTTGGGAAAAAAATTTATTATAGTAGATGGAATCTCAGGTTTAGTTTTGTATCAAATTTTCCAATAATCTATAACATTTTATTTTCACTAGTTCAATTTATGCCACTTAAGAAATTTTCAAGGTATTGAGAGAATAAAAATAAGCCTTATAAATTGTGTAAGAAGTTAAAGACTCCCTTTGCTTTATTATTTGGCTTGTTTCTAATGTGAATTAAAGAAGGGGTAGCAAATTCTAAAGCCCATAAGGACCAACCAAGAAGGTAATGAAAGCACTAAATCAGGCTGGGTTTATAAAACATTGGATGTGGCGGAGACTGCTGAACTAAGTAGGTGCCCAGTATAAAGGCAAAAGCATATCATTCAGGTCCAGCAGACCAGTGTCATGTGGGAATATGAGCCCAGTGTTATTAGAGCTTTTGATTTTAAGAGAAGCTACAACTTAAAAATTTTTTAATCTTAACAATAAATTAAAATAGAACAGAAAACTCTCCTGTGTGCCTGACTCAGTCAGCAGGCTCTATGCAATGGCTTGCCTTGGTGACATGAGTTACTATAGACAAAATGTTCATTTTTTACTTAAAATACAACTACATTGTTAGAATTTGTTAGAAACATGTATTAATTTTGCAAATAAGGAGTTTAAGTAGGAAAAAATTTATGAGGAAACTATCAATATAACACTGTACATGGTAAATTGTACTATAATTTTTATACCAGTTTTTCTCAGAATTTAAAACTGTGCATTCCTCATAGGATTCCAAAAGAAAATAATTTCTGCTAAATGGCTTTATTAAGCACACATGTTACATTAAGAGGCCAAGACCAGAAATAAAATTCCCTGAAAATATCAATTTAATTTCTTTCAAGTGTTAGATATGGACCTCTTTGGGATATAAATACAACTATATCTGAGAGTGGAACTTACCATCATTTTTATTGGCATTATATAAAACCTTTTTCCTCTTCTTTTTATTCTTCTTTGCACACCATAGTTTTCCTGTTGAGAATAAAAAACGTAAGTATAAATGTGGTATTTGTTTCCTTGAATAAAGCTACATATTTCAAATAGAAGAACTCAAATAGTTTTAAATTTATAGACACATGTTACATTGTTCATAGAAGAACTATTTTTCAGAGAAGTAGTTATAATTTTCCATTAATCTCACATCACAGATAGATAATCTTTAATACTTAAATCCTCTCCTTCCTTTACAGTCCTAAGGTAATCAGTTTTGCTTCTCACATCACTCTTGCCATGAATACATCTTTCTTGACAGTTATGATATGTAAATCTAAACCTGATTCCAGATGAAGACCCAAGAAACCTCAATGTCAAATACAAGCGTCCAACCTGATTTTTCTGGCTCCTTATCTTCTTCTATGGTTTGCTTCATGGCTTCCCTTTGCTGCTGAAAGCTTTTCCCTAATAAGCAGAAAGGAAAAAGAGTAAAATAGTTAAGTCAAAAGTATAGAAGTATTTTTTTTTAAATCAAGGGACACCACCAGAAGTAACTCTTCATTTATATTCCCTTCTAAATCCTCCTGCCACCACATCAGAGTATGTCAACTATGATTATACGCTCCAAACAGTTAAAGTATTAAGTCTCCACCTTGCTCTCAATCAATCCTAGAACATGTATTACTGGACTATATATATCATCTATTAAAAAAGATAAATAACAAACCAGTGCTAGAAAACTTAATAGTTCAATTTTTACAAAGTTTTCATTTAGCATCTACTATGTGGAAAGCACTGTGCTGGATGTTACAATGGTTCTGATCATTTGAATTACTGCAAATCAAGCAAATTAATTCTAGGAGTTAACTTTCCAAAATAATATGTAAACAGTCACCAGTTTTTGATTCCAAGACAGCATTCAACATATTCCCTTGCATTTATCATTTTCAATCCCTCTTTTTCTTTGTATGTATGTATATGCTTTAAAGATTTTTCATTTCTACCTTAAGCTACCCATGATACAAATAAATGAAAAACCTATTACATTTTTCCTCTCAGGATTAAGATTTTAATATAGGAGGCTTTCAAGGTTTCTGATTTTCATGTTCTTTTCAGACATCTACCTTAGAATCAAATATATTTTTTTCCTGAAGGATAAAAGTGGCTTTAGTTAGAAAATTCTGAATTAGAGTTCTACTTTTATATTTAATTTTTATATTTAATTCTTTCCATTTCAGGCCAGAGATTCTTAAAAATCAATAAGCAAATTCCATCTATGATGTTGGGATAATCTGTTGAACTTAGTGCATTTTATAAGAGCACAAGCAAAAACAGTATTGAGTTTGATATACATAAAAAGCATTAAAAGAAATCAAGTTATCTCCAGAAGCTGTACAGATTGTGTTTCTAGATAAAACAAGTAGCTATGACTATAGGGAAATTTTTAAGAGCACTAAATCTTTTAAAAAAGTATTTGACTTCAACAGATTTAGAAGAAAAAGAACAAAATAATTTAAATAATTTACATATTAAAATGTTTTAAAACATTACAGTAATGTACTGCTATGGCACATTTTTATAGTACACACATATGTAGACTGTTTTTGAAATAGAAGCAGACATTAGTGGGAGATGGACATTATAACCTCTTAGAAATCCTTCTGACAGAAAACCGTCAAACTCAAACTAACGTGGGTCCATTTATTTGTCCTATAAAAAGACTTACAAATGGTATCATTAAAACTTCCTTGATTTATCTATATATTTTCAGAAACTCAATGTAATCAATCAGTCAATAGATATTAGTTCTAAGTATTTATGGGCTAAAGCTGACATGGTGAAAGATATCAAATTGATATCTGGCACAAGCACTACGAACCATAATGGCTGCCCAGTACCCCAGGATTCTAGAGGAATGTTCCTGTAACCGTTACTGTGAAGAATCAAGGGTATAGTACCATCCTCTGAACTTAATATACGAAGCCCATTCCTCCTTCCTTGATATACGGGTCAGTGTACACAGAATCCCCGGCTTTGGGGTTTTAAAGCAGATGATTTGTGCCTGTGACTTCATTATACACATAATGTATTACTTGTAGTCACATTCACTGTAAGCCAAATTCTATAGCCAGATCTGTTATGCTCAAAATCTTAAGGTTTAATAGGAGGTATAATCCCGAAAAAATGTTATAGGCAAAAGTCAAGGCTTGGAAGAGTTTAAAAAAAAAAAAACAGCCTTAGAAGGTCTAATTCAGAAGCATCAGTTCTGGCAGAACTATTTTTAAAAACCACCTATTTATTAATTTAGCAGATACTGCCCTAAATTTAAAAGAATAAGTAAGATGTAGTCACTGGCCTAGAAGTTTACAAACTGAGAATATCCAGTACAAAGTACTGTAACAGACAATTCCATGTAAGTATTATAAAGTAGGGCACGCAAAAAAAGAAAAAAAAAACCTATTGTTTTACATTAATGTATAATTAAAGTATTAATGGATATGCTTTAAAGTCAAATATGGAAGAGAAGCTTATCTCAGTGCCTTATACAGTGCTGATATAACAGTATTTTTTGAGTGAATAAGCCGATGAATTATCACTTTATTCCCATTTCATCATTCTGTAAGTATTCCTTTGCCTTCACTAGTATCTTATACTTTCCTTGGTTCTGTTTCCCTCATTCCACCATACCCACATCCTGGGAACTGCAGGAACAATTTGTAGGAAAAATTACATCTATACACTTCATTCCATTAAGCATCATCTTCACTCTTCAGAAGAAATATGTTCCCTTAAAATCTTTATGTCCAATGTGAGCTAAAGTTTTATTTTAGTATAGTCTAAATTAGAGAGTCTTCTTCAATGAAAAGTTGGGGGCATCCTATTTCCACCCTAAGATATCTTAGGAGAGATAAATTCAGTAGTCTTACTCTCCTGATTCCTTATAAAGTGATGCATCTTCACAAATTCCTCTTTAGATATCAAGTTTGATGCTCCAGTTGATGATAATCTCCTGTTATAGTATAAGTTTTGTTGCCTTGATGCTTTTGTTGTTCAATACAAGTTTTGTTGCCTTGAAAACAGGGTAGTCTCAATGTACCTACAGTGAATGTAGTACAACATGGGATTGGCTGACGAGATTATATCGTAATTCCATTCTAAAGCCCAACAAATTGGTTAATTTATATTCAAGATACTTATGTTACAGATACAACATAAAAATCAACGACATGAAAAAGTATTTACATCATTTTTTAAAAGGCATGAAAAAGTGAGTTTTTCTCTTTGAAGATTTGTATTTTAAATGTTTTTTTAAACTTTGTACTTTCTACTATACTGTCTCTTACCTGGAACAAGCCCAGCTAGAGGCTGATTATCTTCATCCCCTTCCCTGTAGGCCTGCCACCAATTTGGATCTTCTTGACTGATTACATGAAGTATATCCCCTTTTTGAAAAGACAGACCTAACTCTCGACATGGAACATAAGGGTCATCTGAGGGGTCATAGTCAAAATGAGCCTTTACATGGATCTAAAAGATAAAAAGGGTAAAAGTAAGAACAACAATAATGAAATGGCAACACAAAATCTTCAGCATAAATATAATTAAAATGTTTCATTTTTCATTAGTGCAAAGATATTATGAATTGAAAGAAGGGAGGTTAGTTTAGTAACTGTATTTTGGGAGCAGAATTTTCCCAGACTCATCTGTTTTCTTCAGTTAAGACAGTCCTGTTGATTGCAAACATGTACAAGAGTATGCAAAACACTGCACTGTTAGCTGCTAACAAGCTGAGGTGCTAAGGGGCCTCAAAGGTTTGATAGAAGCAGAAGGAATGTAATAGAGACTCCCTCCCCTTCCATTCCTGACCTGTGAAAACAATGACTCTGCAGTAAGGTATGTAATTTCTAAACCACTACTACCACGAAAGGTAGACTGTAAACCTCACCACATCTGTCATCTAAGCAGGTGAGTGTCAGTTTCCCTGGTGCCACCATCCAGGGAAACTGTTCTTGACCACACTGTCAGTGCGACTGTGCCTTAATCTCTTTCAGAGTTTCTTCTAAAGGGATATGTTTAGGGTTCATAAATAATGACACCCTAAACTGCTAAAATTATCTAAATCAAGTGTATAATCATTCCTATCGTGTTCTATACATAGGCTTTATTACTAGTGGTATAAGTTAAAATTTTTGTTAACTGTGTTTTTGCATATCTAAAACCTGTTAACGCTCTTAGCACTAAAGGTAAGAATTCACATGAACCTTACTGAAAGCTAAGTTATTTCCGATGCTATTTTCTTCAATATATTCTATAAGATAAAGAAAGTATTCTTACTTCTTAGGAGGTATAAAGGAATTAATATTCTCTTTAACTCCCCTATCTGTACTTTTTATCCAAGCTGGTCAAATGGCATGTAGCATTTTCCAAAATCTGTAAGAAGCCCATTTTCATCTAACAAAATCCTACACCTATTTTCAATGAGTTTTTCTGCCCCACATAGGTTATATTTCAGGTTTGGGCTCAGTGAGCCAGGCACCTGATTGACAGCCTAAGAATTTTATAATTCTGAGTTCTTTTCTATCCAACTGTTGTTTGACTTTCCTTAAGCCTTTTACCCTAACCATGACTGAGGCCACCAATCATAAAAATAATACTGGTCTGCTTCAAAAACTATTTTATGAGAAAACACTATCTTTTTTCAGCTCCTGAAACACTTAAAAAATTGACTATTCTCAATCAATAATGAGAATATATGAAATCTGATAAAATACTTTTAAAGCGCTATATATATAATACATATCCCTCCATTATAATAACCAAGAATCCTCATGAAAGCAACAGCCTCTTTCAGAAATTTTGAAGGTATCTTTAGATAAAGAATACTGTATTTTTTAATTTCAGAAAAATATTTTACTGCTATAAATATGAAATGAGGAAATCTAAGTCTCAATATACAAACAGCAACACTGAAGTAAAGCAAGTGATTCAGTTAAAAATACAGAACTTAAATGCTAGTCTGCTTTTTGGGGGGTAGCTTTTCATTGATGTACTACATAAGTTCAAATAGTACACAAAATCCTAAATGTATAGCTCAATTAATTTTCATAAACAAAACAAACCTGTGTAACCAGCACCCAAATCAAGAACCAGAATATCACCAGCACCTCAGAAGCCCCGCCTCACGTTCCTTTCAGTCACTAGCCATGCTATGTCCTCCAAGGATAAACATCACCCTGATTTCTAGCATAGATTAATTTCCCTGTATTTTACTTCATATAAATGGAATCACATAGTACACACTCTTGGATTAAATATGTTTAAGATACCTCACTCAATTTAACAGTGTTCTGCTGCATTACAACTGGAGTGTGCCCGAAGCAGCCTTATTCTTGATATGAAAAACAGACTTTTTAATAAAATCTTGAAAACTTTTGTCAGTTAAAACCAAAAATGAATTTTAGAGAGTTACAGGGTAGTAGTGAGTCAAAACAGTTGAGAGACTGGGTAAAAAGACTATACATACAATTCTGTAACCCTGGCATGAGGTCTCTAATCTATAGGATGATTAAAAAAAAAATCTCTGCTTGAGTACCATCCCTGTTAATCAATAATGCTTCTACATCTGTTTAAATTGTTGCTTTGTAGTCAAACAATCTTAGCAATCTGAACATGAAATTATAGGCATCATTTATGGTGGTGGAGAGATCATTTTATTATCAGGCTTTTCAAAGATGCATGAAATCAGACTACTTGTCAGCCTGATGGATGATTTTATCAAATCACTTTCTGAAATCGATACCCAGCATGTTGTTTTCAAACTGTTTTTCTCAGAACACCTGCTAGGATGTTTATTAAAATACTGACTTCTTATGCCACATCTCAAACTTTCAGACTCTGTATTTTAATTATGTTCCTTGGATAATTGTTACATACATGCTGTTTAAGATGTACCCTAAAATCTCAGGGAACTACTACCCTGAGGGAAACTAAATAGACCAGTGAGGACGCTGTATCTAAGTCTATGACCTTTGCCAGAGGCCAAACAAAATCACCCAGAGATGCTTTTCTCCCTACTCTGCTTAGGTCTTACCTCTTCACTATTCAGATTTAGTTGGTTTGGAATGAGGCCCCTCTTTGTGCAGGCTGGGAAGAGGAGTAAAATTGAGAGCAAAGTTTATTTCATATCAGGGAAACTAACCATATGACTGAGTAAAAGTCTGAGTATTGACTTGACATGTACTATGTGACTTCTATCTATATATAGGCATACCTTGTTTTATTGTGTTTCACTTCACTGCATTTTGCAGATACAGTGTGACTCACTTTATTGCAGTGGTCTGGAATCTAACCTGCAATATCTCTGAAGTATGCCTGTATTCCACTGCAATTCTTATCAGCTCTAGAAGTTATCTTCAGCAATCTTTCCTCTTCAGCTCTGTAAGTGGCTAATTTATTTCCTTTCCCATACAAAAGAAAACAGAGTCCTTTTCAAGTGAAGGAGAGATGCCGACCCCTATAGGAAAGCTCCAGGGTTTAACAATGCTGTAGTATCACTACAATGTATCTGACCAAAACAATGTCTGATTTCTAATCCAAACAAAACCATCTGTTTAAATTTTAAATTACAGGGCTGTTTAGACACAATTATCTTCCAGTCCAACATTTTTCTCCTTGCCCCTTTTTTTTAAGCACATTTGAAATCCTAATGATGGGAGCACAGTAAAGGAATAATAATTCATTAATTTATTTACATCTTTCCTAAGGGATTCAATGCTCAAAAATAATTTTTCCTTGTAATTTTTATTTCTGTATTTCTTATTATACTAGACTTATCTCTAACTTTTAAAATTACTTACAGAAGAGAAAATAGTGAAAGTGTGTCTTCTTTTGTCTTTGGCCTAAACTTTACCATAAGGCAGATTATAAAACTAAGGGCAGCATCAAGAAAAGCCTTTGAGTGTCAAGCAACAGTTTTCAAATTCCTTCTCCTCATCCTGAGATTCCTCCTCTCCGATGCCCATTCAAGAAGGCATATCTTTATTATTTGTTCTCTTCCATTTTTAACAGGAGAAATTTGGGATATCTGTGGGGCATCCAGTTAATGGTTAGTAGTAGTAGGCTGACAAAAATATGAACCTTAGGGTAACAGCAAACTTAATAGAGCAACTGCCCTAACCTGAAAAGGGATGTCCATCTAATACACTGTACACTGAAATTTTCAATATTTTTTCATCTTCTGATAAAATATTTATAAAAATTTTATTGCATTATAAAATTACAGATCTTCTTCCAAATGAGAAAAAATTAAGATGAAAATTATATTATACATTTTATACCTCTAAGAGAAAAGTAAGTATACTGGATGGCAGTGGTTCTCAACCTTTCCTTTCAACCCAGTTATCTTCATAGGCTACGAACAATTCTTAACCTATCATTTTTTAAAATCTGTAGAAGTTTTTGCAAACACATAAAGTACATATAAACAGACTGTTCCCCTGACCTGATTTCCCCACAATAAATACAACTATGGCCCAGATCTCTCCTTAGAATTCCAAAATGATATATTCTATTCTATGCATTCGATATCTCTACCTGAATGCCTCTCAGGTATCTCAAATCTATAAAATAAACCTTTGGATTTTTCTCCCCAAACCAGTTTTTCCTCCACATTTCCTGTTAGTAAGCACCACCACTATCCACCCAGTTGTTCGAGCATCCTTGCTTCTTCCCTATCCTTTACTCTCCACATTCATTACAAGGTCCTGTCATTTCTACTTCAGAACATATAGCCTGATTCATATTCTCCACTGCCACTGCTATCATCGAAATTTATAAGTCAACATCATACTTTATAATGGCTTCGGCAACAGTTTCCTAAATCTCCTTGCTTCCATTATTCGCTCTACTAATCCAATTTCCACCCAGCAGCCACATGTGTTTTGTTTTTAAATACAAATCACACCATGTTACTGTATTTGAAATGCAAACTCCCTGCCACGGCCAAGAAGACTTACTTGACCTGGCCCTATCTACCTCTCAAGACTCATCTCTTAGAATTCCCTCCTCACCGTTCTACTCTCCTACTTGCTCCATTCCTACAGGCTTTCCAAACACAAAGTTCTTTAGAAATTATACCTGGAAGCCCTTCTGGTAATTAACAGGCCTGGCTTCATCTCATTCTATAGGTCTCAGCTTCATGTTGTCTCCTCCAGGAGGCCTTTCCTGCCAACCTTATATAATCAATCCCACCTCCTTTTATTCTCAGTGTTCAAATTCTATTGATTTCCATCTTATCACTTACTGCAAACTATAATTAATGTCATGTTCATTATTATAAAGCTAGCACTTATTAGCACAGTGTCCTAGTACACAAAAGGGATCAAGTAGATAATCACTGTGAGGAAAAAAACTATTTGGGGCCCATAATATTTCAATTATTAATACCACTGGCCTAGTGGCTAATTCTATGGTTTGTATCCCTGAACTGTGATTTTAGTATCCTCCTAAGTCTTTAAATTCCCCTAAAACTACATCTTTCTCCCATACTCCCAGCCCAGACCCCCAAAATCAAGAGACTTCAGTCATGCTCCCAGCATTATTAGAGTTATCAAGTCTCCTACAGATAGAAGAGATCCTACCTCAATTTCAAATACTGAAGTCTCATAATATGCTTTTATTATACTCAAAATCCAGACTCACTATCGTATCATATAGCTACTAACAGGTTAATTCATCCACAGTTACAATTTTCTATCACGGTATTGTAATTATTTTCTTTGGACTGATAATAAACAGTAATACAGAAACCTTCTAACATTTAGTAGCTTTGTGGGACAGTACCTGTTATATTACACAGCAGTTAAGAGCAAAAGTTCTGGAATAGGCATGGGTTCTAGTCCTGGCTCAGTCACTCACCAATAGTGGGCTTGGGCAATTAACTTGACCTTTCTAATTCTAGTTGCAATGCTTGTTAAATGGGAGTAATAAAGATAGCTATACTTAAAAGGGATACTATAAGGACTAAATGAGATAACACATGTAAAACAATTAGTATTGTGCCTGGCACAAAGTAAGTAATCATAATGATAGCTAACACTTATTGGACAATCAATAATCTCTGAATTTTCTAGTGCATATTCCATCACTAATAACTAGTGTGATCCCCTACATTTCAATTTACTCCTGTTTATATTTGGGCATCGGACTAGACGAAAAAAGTGCCTTTGGCTCAAATATTCTATTTCCTCCCTTCAATATTATTTCAATTATATTGTGAAATAATCTAAAGTTGTACACAACTTTTCTTTTAGTCAATGCGGGGAGAAGGTAACTGCAGTTTAAACAATGTATATGTTTCCTCAGACAAATGTGCCAGTAACCTAGGAAGCTAAACTACAAAGGTGTCAAGACTTTTGTCCACTGCAACCAATGGAGCAGCCCCTGGCTGCTATGTGTGATACAAAAGAAACTTACCAAATAAGGGAGTACTTCTCCTGACACAGCTTAGTCTTGCCATTTGTAATGTTATAATTCAGCAAGTGATTACGATGGAGTTTCAGATAACACCTATTTTGTTATCTTAAATGCATATTTCTTTCTAACATCACAAAACATACATCAGAATGATAACCTTTTGTTGCTCTTACTAGATACCGACCTGTACCATAATTACGCTTAGTAAGTTGGTTCTAATTAAACTCTATTATGAAAAAAGATATACGCACCCCAGTGTTCATAGCAGCACTACTTACAATAGCCAAGAAATGGAAGTAACCTAAATGTCCATCAACAGATGAGTGGATAAAGATGTGGAACATATACAATGGAATACTACTCAGCCATAAAAAAGAATGAAATAATGCCATTTGCAGCAACATGAATGGACCTAGAGATTATCATACTAAGTGAAGTCAGAAAGAGAAAGACAAGTGCCATATGGTGTCACTTATATGTGAAATCTAAAATATGATACAAATGAACTTATTTACAAAACAGAAACAGACCCACAGAGGTAGAAAACAAACTTACGGCTACCAAAACAGAAAGGGGGTGGGAGAGAGATAAATTAGGAGTTTGGGATTAGCAGATACAAACTACTATATATAAAATAGTTAAACAACAAGGTCCTACTGAATAGCACAGGGAACGATAATATCCTGTAATAAGCCATAATGAAAAACAATATGAAAAAGAATAGATAGATATCTGAATCACTTTGCTGTACACCAGAAACTAACATAACATTGTAAATCAACTATACTTCAATTTTAAAAAATGGTTATTTCTTAAAATCACTAATCCCATATAAAATTATTCTGCATATGCCAAATAAAATTATGATATACTATCACTGTTTTCCTTGCGGAAATCTTCCATGCGAGCATTAATAATAGTAGTTCATTTCAAACCTGTTTAAGTTTGATAAAAACTTTACAAGAGATATTGCAATTGAGAGTTCTTCTCAATGAAAGGAGGAAATGAAGGGAAAAAAAATATTGCACACCATTTCTATTTTGAAAACACCTCTACCCGTCAAATGCTGTATTCTAAAAGGGATAAGCCTAGCATCTTTTCTTTTCCTTTCTCTCCCTTTCTTGTTAAAGTCATATAAGTAAGCAAATATTCCAACCTTCTTCTGTTGTGTCTCCTCACACTGCATAGCCACTTTTGAAGTTCAGGGCTTGCTCATGGGAGAGATATGTGGGAAAGGATAGTGTACTGAGAATAAGGCTGTTGAAACTCAAAGACAAACTATTTCCTCATTTCTCTTCCTACAAAGAACTTTAAACAGAAGGAAGGTTGCAAATGCAACACTGACTTCAATATGTTCCAATAAAGGGAAAAGATGGAACGACAGCCAAAATATAAAGCATAACTGTGATGAAATATTAAGAAAAAAATGAAACTGCGTTCCCTTTCAAATTGTTATGCTTGTACAAAAATTAAGAATAGTAACAGATGCAATACATCAGGCTACCATGTTAATCCAGCACACTGAAGTCTATGACTTTTTAACAGCTTTATTGAGATATAATTCATATGCTATACAAGTCACCCATGTATACACTTGGGTGGTTTTTAGTAAATTTAGAGTCGTGCAACCACAAACAATTTTAGAACATTTTTATCAAAGCCCTACTGATTGGGAATCACTCTTATTCCCTCCTAAATCCCCACCCTTTCACCTAAGTAACTACTAATTTACTTTCTGTCTCTATGGACTTACCCATTCTGGACATTTTATATAAATGAACCCAATACACAGCCTTTTGCGAATGGCTTCTTTCACTTAGCATAACTTTTTCAAGGTTCATCCACGTTGTAGCAATATATCAGTACTTTATTCCTTTTAACTGCCAAATAATATCCCATTCTTATGGCTATACCATATTTTGTTTTCCATTCATCAGCTGGCAAACATCCGAGTTGTTTCTACCTTCTGGCTACTATGAAAAATGCTGTTTTGAACATTCATGTACAAGTTTTTGAAAAGAGGTATGTCTTCAGTTCTCTTAGGATCTATACCTAGGAGTGGAATTGCTGGATCATATGGTAATGAAGTCTGTTTTTTACTATAGCTAGAGTATTTAAGAGTTGTGCATACTTTGTAAAAAGCACTTTTTCCCACTACACTAAGCATATTTAAGTTAAATAAGCCCACCTATACTGACAGAAAAAGACAAAGCTGAACATTGTAAGTCATAAAAATTCTGAAAAAGAAGTATTTTCTATTTTTTTACTTTTCAGAGTTCACTAACTCTGAAATATTAATATGTCATATTTATTTAAATAAAATCTACTGAATTTACCTGTTTTTACTTGAGTGCAAGAAATATTTAGAGTGACATTTCTGATGCTCAAATGATAAACATCACTGTGCATGCTTTTGTTTGAGGTTTTCAATTCCTTGGTATTAATGAGCTGAAAACTTATATCCACACAAAAACCTCCACAGGGGTGTTTGTTCATAGCTACCAAAACTTGGAGGCAACCAAAATGTCCTTCAGTAGGTGTGTGGGTAAACTGTTGTATATCCAGACAATGGAATATTATTCAGTGCTAAGAAGAAAGGAGCTATCAAGGTATGAAAAGACATGGAGGACTTAAATGCTTACCACTAGAGAAAAAAAGCCAATTTGAAAAGACTACATACTGTAAGATTCCAACTATATGACATTCTGGAAAAGGTAAACCATCGCAGTCAAGACAGTGTGGTTGCCATGGGTTGGGGGGAGGAAGTGATGAATAAGCAGAGCATAGAGGATTTTTAGGGCAGTGAAACTATTCTGTACGTTACGATGGTAGATATATGAAATTATACATTTGTCAAAACTCATAGGATGTACAACACCGAAATTGAATCCTAAAGTAAACTGTGTACTTTGGGTAATAATGAAACCATCAATTCACCAATGTAACAGATACACTACTCTGGTGTAGAATGTTGATAGCAGGGGAGGTTGCACATGTGTGAGAGTGGGAATTATGTGTGAACTCTACTTTCTGCTCAATTTTGCTGTGAACCTAAAACTACTTTTTTTTTTTTTCTGGCTGCATTGGGTCTTTGTTGCTGCATGCAGCCTTTCTCTAGTTGTGGCAAGTGGGGGCTATTCTTTGTCGTAGTGCGCGGGTTTCTCATTATGGTGGCTTCTCTTCTTGCGGAGCACGGGCTCTAGGCGTGTGGGCTTCAGTAGTTGCAGCACACAGGCTCAGCAGCTGCAGCACGTGGGCCCTAGAGTGTGTAAGCTTCAGTAGTTGTGGTGCGCAGGCTCAGAAGTTGTGGCTCGCGGGCTCTAGAGTTCAGGCTCAGTAGTTGTGGCGCACGGGCTTAGTTGCTCCGTGGCATGTGGGATCTTCCCAGACCAGGGATTGAACCCGTGTCCCCTGCATTGGCAGGCAGATTCTCAACCACTGTACCACCAGGGAAGTCCCCTAAAAATCCTCTTAAAAAATAAAGTTTGTTAATTAAGAAAAAAGTAAACAGTAACCATCAGAAAATAAATAATGAACATTAAAAAAGTCACTTACTACTGTTTCCTTAGCAGGAGGAGGCTTGATCTGTTGACTGGGAATCAGAACAAATGTCAAAGTACCATGCATATCAGACTGTAACAGAAAAAGTACATTATTTTAAAAAGCTGTATTTATGAAAATCATTCCATGATCTTATGATCAATAGTCCCTAAACTGGACTATTCTGGAACTCCAAGGAGACTTCAAAATAAAAAATTGGAAAAGATGAATCCCATTTTATCAGGAAGCACAAATTATGCCTTTCGTGGACTCCATCATAGAGCTACCTAGGAATATGACATTCTGCAATTTTGGTCCTCTCGTCCACTGGGAAAAGCCACTTAGCCCATAAGTCTTGGGTTTTTATCTTCCATTAAGTTTAAGTTTGGAAGATTCCACAGTGAAGGACTGGAAGACACTGCAGCACTTCAGGGTCATCTACTCTGACATATATCGATTTTAATACAGTAGAATTTGAAATAGTAATTTTACTAGGATTAGAAAAGCGATACAAGTACACAAATATTCTTACTTCCCAGATGCTTTGTCTCTGTCATTCATTCTATTTTATAACTGTATAGTCTTACTACTAGGTTCTCAATTATTTTCCAGTACAGTCGGCCCTCCGTATTCATGGGTTCCATATCTGTGAATTCAACCAACCGCGGATGGAAAAAAATTCCAGAAAGTTCCAAAATGCAAAACTTGATTTTGCCACCTGCAAACAGCTATTTACTTAGCATTTACATTGTATTATTATAAATAATCTAGAGATTATTTAAAGTATACTGGAGGATGTATGTAGCTTATATGCAAAAACTATGCCATTTTATGTAAGGGACTTGAGCACCCATGGATTTTGGTATCCATGGGGGCCCTGGAACCAATCCCCCATGGATACCAAGGGACAACTGTATACCACTGCCCACCTTGCTCAGCTACCTCCAGCCTAGACAGTAATCACACTTATGGTCCTGAGATAGCAGGGAGCAGTACTCAATCTAGAGACAGCAGCCAGTAAAACAAGGGCTAAGAACAATGACCACTGGCACTTTGTGCTATCAAAGCAATGAATGGCACTGGGTGACAATAAGGATGTGAGGATGTTTTCTAGATTCTTCAGTAGACGTCAGCAGATAGGAGAGATTTTAATGTAACAACTGATATTAAGTAAATAAGAATATAAATCTGATTGATGGGTATATATGAAGTGATCATAAATCACCCTCAGAAGTTGGCTCTAAATGGCCTCCTGATTATACCACCACTGTCTAGCAGGACTTTCTATGATGACGGAATTCTGATCAGTGGACTGGAATTGCAGAATGCCATATTCCTAAATCTACACCTTCATATGATAGCCATTAGTAACATACGCTTCTTGAGCATCTGAAATGCAGCTAGTAAGAATGAGGAACTGAATTTTAAATGTTACTTAAATAGAAATAACTAGCACATGTAGCTAATGGTTATTATATTCAACAATGTAGATCTATACCACTGCTATTATCTAATATTGCTAAGGAAACAACAATCAATTGTAGGTAATAAAAAACCAAAATAAGGGCTTCCCTGGTGGCGCAGTGGTTGGGAGTCTGCCTGCCAATGCAGGGGACATGGGTTTGTGCCCCGGTCTGGGAAGATCCCACATGCCGCGGAGCGGCTGGGCCCGTGAGCCATGGCCACTGAGCCTGCGCGTCCGGAGCCTGTGCTCCGCAACGGGAGAGGCCACAACAGTGAGAGGCCCACGTACCGCAAAAAAAAAAAAAAAAAAAAAGAACATAAAATCATGAGGGTGTGAACTTTGTTTTGTTACTGTTTCCCTAGCAGCTAGCACACAGTAGGCATTTAATACATGTATTTTTGAATGAGTTATTATTCGTGATTTCAGAGGCGAACAAAATATACCTGGTAGTAATAAAGAAAAAAAAATCAGCAGCACCTCCACCCCCACAAGAATAAAATTCTACTAATAAATATTGTGGAAACAATTATACCATGGGAAAATTGTGCTAGAAATTGTATAGAGATCTTAACAGTTATTTTTAAAATGCTTTTTAAATATTTTATTCTGAAGTCCAATAACAAAGGAGGCTTTTGAGAGTCTATCAATTATTCTTCTACACGGGGCAACTTACCAACAAGTCAAAAACCTCATTGACATCTTTCCCCCGAATTTCAATGCCATTGATCTCCAGAACTTCATCCCCTTCATGTAACAGACCACTTTTTTCTGCAGCACCTCCTTTTACTATCCGACTAATGATGACAGAATCCATTTCATTACGAACTGTAGCACCCTTAAAAAAATTCAATAGCCAATATTGAAATAAAAATGCAATTTTTGGGTTCAACATGTACTCATTTTTTAATTTTTATTTTTGTATTCAACAATTCTAGCCTTCAGTTATCTTGAGAAAAAAATGTATTTACACAGCTAGAATAATCATGGCAATTAGGTTTGAAAGCTGATCATTTCCCCCACATTTTGTGCTTCAGAAGCATTCCATTCGTTAAAATTCTAAAATCAGGCTTTTGAAGCATACAACAGCATAAAAATGCACTTGTTCAAGAACAATGTGAAAGCCTATAATCAAATTTGTTCTCTATATGCTGGATGCTATTCAAATGGTTATACTATATTTAGGTATAATTAGTGAACATGACTTGTAACTAAAAGTCTTTTTAAATTCAAAATATCATTAAGAGATGAATACTAATCTGGTTAATTATCAAAATATTAAATATGATAGCTGCATCCAATTCACATTAAAATGTATTAAACATCAATATTTATTATACAAATTGGAAGTACAACTGCAATATATACACTCAAAAACTGGAAATATGAAATACAGAATAAAGCTTGAAATTAGATAGTTTGTAACACTTTTCTCCTGAACTTTTATTTTAAAATTTTGTCATAACATTCCCAATTTCTTTCTTTCTGGTTGGGAAAACCTAGTTACATAAAATTCCCTTTAATAAAATACAGTCCCTATTTCATATACCACACTGTGCAAGACAATTTGAGAACTTAGGATTCAAAAATATTTCTCTGAAAATAAAGAAAATTAAGTCAATGATAGCAGACTAACAGAAAAACGTTCTACATATAAAAACTACAAAATATTAACATTAAACAATGCATACTTCTAAGTATATGTGAAGTATGTAAGTAATTACATTGAATGAAAAGATCAGACTTTCCACTGTTTTTTTAAAAAGCTGGCAGACTAATGAAGCAGATTACTTGTCCCTTCTTTGTTCAACGATTACTTCACAAGCTATTATTTTCATCAAATTATGGGTGAGAAAAGATGAACAAATTATTTCTCAGATGAATAAGGAGTATGAGGAAGAACATAAAAGAATTCCAAAAAGTTAGCCTCCAAAGAGAAAAACTACCAGAAATGTAAACTCTTCAACTATCTGCCATACAGAAGACCCCTGTGTAGAAAGGATCTCATATCAGAGATGTGGGACACTTACCAATGGAATATCTCGAGCCTTTTCTATACGAACTATTTTTACAGTTTCTCCTCCATATTGGCCAATGCTTTCATAAACTCTCTCATCTGTAATGGGCTCTAGCTGCATTTCCTGCTCAGCAACCTTATCATGGGCCAGTAAAAGTGCCTGTTTCAAAGAAACCCATAGCATTTAAAGTAACAGCATGATTTATTTCTGTAGAGAGATTTTAACCTAATCATGTACATAGTATACTGATCATTAAACCTTTAAAAGAAGTGCTGTAATTAATTATATATTCAGATCTCTTTCCAAACTTTCCAACTGAAGTACAGATGCAACCCTGTATCTTTTATAGCTAATAATAACTAAAGATTTGTTAGGTATAATAGGGAATACTCTGGGATGAGTTATCAAAGTCTAAAATGCTTATTAAACTTCATAAAAAACAAAACTACCTCAAGGGTCCAACATCACAGATAATTAAAATTTATGGAAAAATATGACCAAAAAAGGGAGGAATTTGTAAAGAATAAGAAGTTGTTTCAAAAATAATGTGGTTAACAATAATTATTCTGCAGTGGAAGTTGTAAGCAATCAAAACAGGCTACATTAATATTTGAGGTCTCTTTTAGCCCAAGAGACTGATTCAAAGTGATTTTGGATGCTGGAAAAACCACACATATGATGCTCTCTCCATTTTCTACCTGAATATGTGGAGCATTCAGCAAAGCAGTTAATTCTTGTCCTTCCTTCTGGTGGATTGGCTTCAAAACACTTTGTACCTAAGAAACAAAGAATATTCTTCCTAGGTTATAAAAACTATCACTAGCATTTATAAAGATTTTTTTAAAAAAAAGGTATGATTTAAAATTGTAAAAACTGGAAAACGGGTTCAAGATGGTGGAGTAGAAGGATGTGCGCTCGCTCCCTCTTCCGAGAGCACCGGAATCACAACTAGCTGCTGGACAATCATCAACAGGAAGACACTGGAACTCACCAGAAAAGATACCCCACATCCAAAGACAAAGGAGAAGCCACAATGAGGCGGTAGGAGGGGCGCAATCACAATAAAATCAAATCCCATAACTGCTGGGTGAGTGACTCACAAACTGGAGAACACTTATACCACACAAGTCCACCCACTGGAGTGAAGGTTCTGAGCCCCACGTCAGGCTTCCCAACCTTGGGGTACAGCAAAGGGAGGAGGAATTCCCAGATAATCAGACTTTGAAGGCTAGCAGGATTTGATTGCAGGACTTCCACAGGACTGGGGGAAACAGACACTCCACTCTTGGAGGGCACAAAGTAGTGTGCCCATTGGGACCCAGGGGAAGGAGCAGAGACACCATAAGAGACTGAACCAGACCTACCTGATAGTGTTGGAGGGTCTCCTGCAGAAGCAGGGGGTGGCTGTGGCTCACTGTGAGGACAAGGACACTGGCAGCAGAAGGTCTGGGAAGTACTCCTTGGCGTGAGCCCTCCCAGAGTCTGCCATTAGCCCCACCAAAGAGCCAGGTAGGCTCCAGTGCTGTGTTGCCTCAGGCCAAACAACCAACAGGGAGGGAATCCAGCCCCACCCATCAGCAGACAAGCAGATTAAAATTTTACTGAGCTCTGCACACCAGAGCAACACCCAGCTCTACCCACCACTAGTCCCTCCCATCAGAAAACTTGCACAAGCCTCTTAGGTAGCCTCATCCAGCAGAGGGCAGAGAGCAGAAGCAAGAAGAACTACAATCCTGCAGCCTGTGGAACAAAAACCACATTCACAGAAAGACAAGATGAAAAGGCAGAGGGCTATGTACCAGATGAAGGAACAAGATACAACCCCAGAAAAACAACTAAATGAAGTGGAGATAGGTAAACTTCTGGAAAAAGAATTCAGAATAATGACAGTGAATATGATCCAGGACCTCAGAAAAAGAATGGAGGCAAAGATTGAGAAGATGCAAGAAATGTTTAACAAAGACCTAGAAGAATTAAAGAACAAACAAACAGAGATGAACAATACAGTAAGTGAAATGAAAAATACGCTAGAAGGAATCAATAGCAGAAAAATGGAGGCAGAAAAATGGACAAATGACCTGGAAGACAGAATGGTGGAATTCGTTGCCACAGAACAGAATAAAGAAAAAAGACTGAAAAGAAATGAAGACAGCCTAAGAGACCTCTGGGACAACATTAAACGCACCAACATTCGCATTATAGGGGTCCCAGAAGGAGAAGAGAGAGAGAAAGGACCCGAAAAAATATTGGAAGAGATTATAGTCGAAAACTTCCCTAACATGGGAAAGGAAATAGCCACTCTCCGGAAGCGTAGAGAGTTCCAAGCAGGATAAACCCAAGGAGAAACATGCCAAGACACACTGTAATCAAACTGACAAAAATTGAAGACCAAGAAAAATTACTGAAAGCAGCAAGGGAAAAACGACAAGTAACATACAACGGAACTCCCATAAGGTTAACAGCTGATTTCTCAGCAGAAACTCTACAAGCCAGAACGGAGTGGGATGATATATTTAAAGTGATGAAAGGGAAGAACCTACAACAAAGACTACTATACCCAGCAAGGATCTCATTCAGATTCAACGGAGAAATCAAAAGCTTTACAGACAAGCAAAAGCTAAGAGAATTCAGCACCACCAAACCAGATCTACAACAAATGCTAAAGGAATTTCTCTAAGCAGGAAACACAAGAGAAGAAAAGGACCTACAGGAACAAACCCATAACAATTAAGAAAATGGTAACAGGAACATACATATTCATAATTACCTTAAACGTGAACAGATTAAATGCTCCAACCAAAAGACACAGGCTCGCTGAATGGATACAAAAACAAGACCCATCTATATGGAAAAAGATATTCCATGCAAATGGAAATCAAAAGAAAGCTGGAGTAGCAATACTCATATCAGATAAAATAGACTTTAAAATAAAGAATGTTACAAGAGACAAGGAAGGACACTACATAATGATCAATGGATCAATCCAAGAAGAAGATATAACAATTATAAATATACATGCACCCAACATAGGGGCACGTCAATACATAAGGCAACTGCTGACAGCTATAAAAGAGGAAATCGACAATAACACGATAATAGTGGGGAACGTTAACACCTCACTTACACCAATGGATAGATCATCCAAATAGAAAATTAATAAGGAAACACAAGCTTTAGATGACACAACAGACCAGACAGATTTAATTGACATTTGTAGGACATTCCATCCAAAAACAGCAGATTACACTTTCTTCTCAAGTGCACACAGAACTTTCTCCAGGATAGATAACATCTTGGGTCACAAATGAAGCCTCAGTAAATTTAAGAAAACTGAAATCATATCAAGCATCTTTTCTGACCACAATGCTATGAGATTAGAAATCAATTACAGGGAAAAAACCCCACAAAAAACCACAAACACATGGAGGCTAAACAATACATTAGTAAATAACCAAGAGATCACTGAAGAAATCAAAGAGGAAATCAAAAATACCTAGAGACAAATGACAAAGAAAACATGATGATCCAAAAGCTATGGGATGCAGCAAAAGCAGTTCTAAGAGGGAAGTTTATAGCAATACAATCCTACCTCAAGAAGAAGAAAAACCTCAAATAAACAATCTAACCTTACACCTACAGGAACTAGAGAAAGAAGAAGAAACAAAACCCAAAGTTAGTAGAAGGAAAGAAGTCATAAAGATCAGAGCAGAAGTAAATGAAATAGAAACAAAGAAAACAATAGCAAAGAACAATAAAACTAAAAGCTGGTTCTCTGAGAAGATAAACAAAATTGATAAACCATTAGCCAGACTCATCAAGAAAAAGAGGGAGAGGACTCAAATCAATAAAATTAGAAATGAAAAAGGAGAAGTTACAACAGACACCGCAGAAATACAAAGCATCATGAGAGACTACTACAAGCAACTCTATGCCAATAAAATGGACAACCTGGAAAAAATGGACAAATCCTTAGAAAGGTATAAGCTTCCAAGACTGAACCAGGAAGCAATAGAAAATATGAACAGACCAATCACAAGTAATGAAATTGAAACTGTGATTACAAATCTTCCAACAAACAAAGGTCCAGGACCAGATGGCTTCGCAGGTGAATTCTATCAAACATTTAGAGAAGAGCTAACACCCATCCTTCTCAAACTCTTCGAAAAAATGCAGAGGAAGGAACATTTCCAAACTCATTCTATGAGGCCACCATCACCCTGATACCAAAACCAGACAAAGATACTACAGAAAAAGAAAATCACAAACCAATATCACTGATGAATACAGACGGAAAAATCCTCAACAAAATACTAGCAAACAGAATCCAACAACACATTAAAAGGATCATACACCATGATCAAGTGGGATTTATCCCAGGGATGCAAGGATTCTTCAATATACAAAAATCAATCAATGTGATACACCATATTAACAAATTGAAGAAGAAACACTATATGATCATCTCAATGGATGCAGAAAAGCTTTTGACAAAATTCAACAACCATTTATGATACAAACTCTCCAGAAAGTGTCCATAGAGGGAACCTACCTCAACATAATAAAGGCCATATACGACAAACCCACAGCAAACATCTTTCTCAATGGTGAAAAACTGAAAGCATTTCCTCTAAGATCAGGAACAAGACAAGGATGTCCACTCTCGCCACTATTATTCAACATAGTTTTGGAAGTCCCAGCCACGGCAATCAGAGAAGAAAAAGAAATAAAAGGAATACAAATTGGAAAAGAAGAAGTAAAACTGTCACTGTTTGCAGATAACATGATACTATACATAGAGAATCCTAAAGATGCCACCAGAAAACTTCTTGAGCTAATCAATGAATTTGGTAAAGTTGCAGGATACAAAATTAATGCACAGAAATCTCTTGCATTCCTATACACGAATGATGAAAACTCTGAAAGAGAAATTAAGGAAACACTCCCATTTACCACTGCAACAAAAAGAATACAATACCTAGGAATAAACCTACCTAGGGAGACAAAAGACCTGTATGCAGAAAACTATAAGACACTGATGAAAGAAATTAAAGATGATACAAACAGATGGAGAGATATGCCATGTTCTTGGAAGAATCAATATTGTGAAAATGACTATACTACCCAAAGCAATCTATAGATTCAATGCACTCCCTATCAAATTACCAATGGCATTTTTTACAGAACTAGAACAAAAAGTCCTAAAATTTGTATGGAGACACAAAAGACCCCGAATAGCCAAAGCTGTTTGAGGGAAAAAAACGGAGCTGGAGGAATCAGACTCCCTGACCTCAGACTATACTACAAAGCTACAGTAATCAAGACAATATGGTACTGGCACAAAAACAGCAATACAGATCAATGGAACAGGATAGGAAGCCCAGAGATAAGCTCACACACCTATGGTCAACTAATCTATGACAAAGGAGGCAAGGATATACAGTGGAGAAAAGACAGTCTCTTCAATAAGTAGTGCTGGGAAAACTGGACAGCTACATGTAAAAGAATGAAATTAGAACGCTCTCTAACACCATATACAAAAATAAAGTCAAAATGGATTAGAGACCTAATTGTAAGACTGGACACTATAAAAACTCTTAGAGGAAAACAAAGGAAGAACACTCTTTGACATAAATCACTGCAAGATCTTTTTTGATCCACCTCCTAGAGTAATGGAAATAAAAACAAAAATAAACAAATGGGACCTAATGAAACTTAAAATCTTTTGCACAGCAAAGGAAAATATAAACAAGACGAAAAGACAACCCTCAGAATGGGA